AACTGGAGTTGCAATATGCATTCATTGTTATTCAAATTGAACTATTTATGTTCTGCAGAGAGAGTGAGATTTAAAGAGTGACATAAAGAGCGATTTAAAGAGTGACAATGATTTTGTCTGTTGCACCAATCTACATGTATGTGTCCTGGAGAGGGTGTAAGAGGGAAGACGAGAAACTGCCTTTCCCTCACTGGGTGTCATCTATCCTTCCTCTTACAGTATGTTGTCGTCTCATCTTGCTAAGGGTGATTCTAGTGCTAAACATACATATTTTGCGTACAGTGTGAGCTTTGAACACAAGCCCACCCCTTCATTATCCAGTCCCTAAATGAAGAATCAGTGACCTATTTCAATCCAGAGGAACAACTGACTTAGGAACTTTTTGAGAAGATTGTTGAAGACAACTTTATCAATGCTTTCAAGATTTTAAGGGATAATCTTGACTAAATATGATTTCACCTCATGTGCTGACTTCTGCATCCTTTTCCCTCATAGGATGGGTCTTTACTGCCTGTTTATATTTACTTATCTGTCTTCCTCTGCTGGATTATGTGTGCTCTGAGGCAGGATCTCTGTCTTATTCATTTCATTTGGGGCTTTGTGGAGAATGCCCTGTATTGGCTCACTCAATATATTAAATAAGATATTATGATAATAAGAATTAAACAAATACTGAATAAATGAATGAACTAACAAAGGAATCGTGGGGCTGGGTGCTCTGACTAAAGAGCAGAAGATACAGACTTTTTTTCTGGAACATTAATCATCTGGACCAATGGAGTATCAAACACAGAAAACACCTTGGGTTTATCTAATTACAACCCCTTTTTTAACTGTTGTGTCTCAGAAAGACAAAGTGATTTGCTCAACATTTCTCTCATTTAATACTTCTGCTTATCTTTCTCTGGAGTTTCTAGTTTAGCCAAATCTCTTTTAAAGTATGATAACCAGACCAGACATGATATTCTAGTATTACTACCCTTGTCTCTGGGGACATATTTCACCTTGGCATTTGCATTTGTACAAGTTTTAATTTATTTCAGTATTTTGTTGACTCTTCATCCTAGAGAAAAATGAAAGATCATGTACTTGTTCCTTCAAGGGCAGAAATAATGTTTTATTCATCTTTGTATCCTCTATGTTTAGGGCAATAATTGGCACTTTGTCTTTTTATTGGTAAAATGAATTAACTGGAAGAAGCTTTGAAATAGTTGTTTGCCACTTTTATAATCTTAGTATCACAGTGCTTTTAAAGACCTTCCAAGATCTAAGCTAATGCATGGCTTTTCAAATACAAAAGCACTTATTTTCCCCTGGCAAGATCTCTGTTCCATTTAAATTAATTCCACAGAAGGAAATTCTTAAGTTTAAAAAGTATAAATATTTTTACATATACATTCACATTTCTTTTTTATAATAAATAGAAATATTACATGTCATTTTATTATAAACATAATTCTAATTTTCCTTTTGCTATTTTTACTGTGCTGTTTCTGTAAAGTACTTCTTTTTAACCCATTCCTCTTCCTCACTTTCATGTACTTACATACACTTTCTTCCTCAGAATGGATACACTCTGCCTCTTTCTCCTCTAGCTCCATTCAGAATTCAAGTATTTTTATAAGTGCATATGAGTAGCAGAACCTAAATCACATATCCATAGCTCTAGGGAGTCTGAGAAATAGTGTTTTTACTTTTCCAGACTTTTCATTTCAGGAGGTTGGAATGGATCCTGAGTGTGGCAGTCCACAGCATCCACAGTGAACCTTAACTAAAATTACGTGGTCAGTCCTAGGTTTAAAGCAGTTTCATAGTCCTAACTCCAGAGTTCTGTTGTAAGCTCATTAGGGACTTGCTGTAAAGCCATGAAGAATTCATTTAACCTTTCTCGGCTGCAGTTTTGCTTTGTAAGTTAAATATAAAAGTAATTGTTAACTACCTGCTTTAAATCCTGTCCTGGCCCCTGTGTGTAACAGGGTCAGTATCCCATCCAGAGTGTTAGTAATTCCTACAGGAAACCTGGTTGCAAAGTAGTAGCAGTAGCTCTGAGGTAACAGCTGGTCTCCCCAGTGTGGCAATGATTCTGTCTGTAGAATGTGAGCAGCCAACCCCACCAGTTCATGAGCTGGGAAGCAACCATGACATCCCCCAGACCACTCCAGAACCTTCCTAAAACACAAATTAGAAGTAACTATGTTACTTCCCTACTTAGGATGTTCACATGCCTCCCTGCTTCCTAGAGGGTTAAGATAAAACCTGTATTTCTGAAAATGGCGTGCAAAAAACCTTCTGTGATCTGGTTATACTACCTTATCTACTTCAAGTCTTTCTTAATTCCTTAAACTATTCCAACTATAGCTATTCTTTTTTTTTTTAATTTATACATATATATCTAATTGTACTTTAGATTCCGGGATACATGTGCAGATCATGCAGGATTGTTGCATAGGTACATACATGTCAATGCAGCTATCCTTTTTCGAATCAGGCTGCATAGAGTTAGTTATCCCATGCACGGTGTTGCTTCACAACTCTGTGCCTTTACTAGTAAAACCAGAGTAGATAAGAGGAGAATAGGCTTTGGAATCAAAACACTTTGAATCCCAGGTACCTTAACTTCATAGGATTACTACTTAGCCAAATACTTGGCATAGAGAAGTGATCAGTACACACTAGTTTTGTCATATGCGAGGCAGTGTAGTAAAGAAGAAATGTTCTGCTTTGAGACAAGACAGACTTGTTTCCATAACCATGATCATCTAGCACTTTATAGCTCTGAGTCCATGGACCATCACTTAGCCATCCCTACCATCAGTTTTTTGTAAAGAGCTATGTTGGGAATGTGGAAGGATTCAAGAGAGTGCTTTTAAAGTGTCCATCATGACCTTTAACCTAAGCAAATTAATGCAGGAGCAGAAAACCAAATACCACATGTTCTCACTTATAAGTGGGAGCTAAACCTTGAGTACATATGGACACAAAGAAAGAAGCAGCAGACTATTGTAGGGACCTACTTGAGGATGGAGAGTGAAAGGAGGGTGAGGATTGAAAAACTATGTATTGAGTATTATGCTGATTACCTGGGTGACAAAATTATCTGTACACCAAACCCCTGCAACATGCAATTTAACCATGTAGCAAACCTCCACATATACCCCTTAAACCTAGAAGTTGGAAAGAAGAAAAATAAAATGTCCATCACATGCCTAGCACATGATAGACATTCAGTAAATAGTCCTTATCATCTTCATTATTTCTGCCAACTATACCTTAACTACTCACTACTACTAAGTAAGATTGATTACTAGGGTCTTAAGGTATCAACAGTCCCTCTTAATTTTTTTACTTGAGCACTTTTTACTTGATTAGTAGGAAATGTTTTATTTGTCCATTGAACCAACTAATTAACATTCTTTGCTTCGAATTATCACAGCTCTGTGTTCCTCTGGCTACCAGGTCAGAGGGTAGGAGGCAGAAAAAAAGAAAGGAAAACAATAAATAAAAGTCAAGCTTGTTCTCTTGTTCCATGGATACTCAGAACTAGAAGAAATATTTTCTAGATGGTTTAATTTCTTCTACCCCCATTAATATTTGATGTCATTCTCTACCAAGTTTAATTAATTTCCTTTCCCCAACGGGATAAATCTGATCTGCAATATCAGCAGACTCTTTTATCTCTTTAGATTAGAGATAGCATAGTTTAGGGTTGCTACTTATGTCATTTAGGTAAATGGTGCCTGTTTGAATCCCACGTTTGAAAGACAGATGCAGTGGGCAACTAATGAAATATCTATTGAAGATACTTTATATACAATTTATGGCTAATTATTCTTTCTTACTCATTGAGCAATACTTATCATTTTGGGAGAAAATCTTAGTCCAAAGGCTTTTGAGACTGTGGACTGATATTAATCTTGAATTCTATCATCCATGTACTTTAAATTCCTCAGAAGGGGAGACAATCAAACTTTAGAGAGGTGATATTATCTGATGTTAAAATTTATGTATATACACACATATTTCTAGTTCTAACTTTACTATGAAATTCTGCCATTTATTAAATTACAACTATAGTATATCTAGCAATGCCTTAGTAAAACCTGAATTAATGTTCTACTTAGAACACGTACTGATCCAAGGGGAAGAGTTTAATGGCTTCTACCACTTGCCTAAGCATGTATAAATTAATCTACATGTGTAGTCAGTTCACTGAAGGTACCCTAAAATAAACGAATATTCTGAAAAAGGGACCTGATTCTAGATTTGGAGGACAAATGGGAAAAGACATGGCCAATTCTCCATTTACTTCTTAACGGAAGTGGAGGCCCCAAAGGTGTTTAGTGATTCACCTAGAGCCACAGAGCTACTTATTGGCAAGCTGGCATTCAAACTCAAGACTCCTGACTATTGTATATCAACTGACTGGCTTTAAATAAAAGTTGGCAGCATTTAGAATTACTGACAAAAGCCTCAGAAATGTTATTTTCTTTATTCTTTCTTTTTTGTCACAGTGCGAAGGATGGTGTTGAAATAGTCTTAACTGAAGAACATATTGTACTTAAATTTCTCCTTTTGGACAAGGGAGATGGTTAGCTTTCATGGCTTCTAAGGATGAAAGATATAATGGGAGCATTATTTCTTCCTTTACTCATTCTTCCCTAGTGATCATCCCCCTTCTAAGAGAATAACATTGCTTCGTAGAGCCAGGTATATATTGCTCTCCAGTTTCAAATAATCACAGAGGTAAGATGTTTATAAAAAGGGAATTTCTGCCACAGCATACCGTGACACTCATGGCATGAGTACATTGGCAAGGAAGAGTTCATTGGATTCCCTGACCTCTAGGCAAGGGATTTTCTAGCTACTAAAAAGGAAGCCAGAATGATTAAAAACACAAAACTCTGTGAGCTATGCATGTATGTATGTAAACCTCAAGTCTTCTTAGAGACTGAGTTTCCAGGTTTTAAAAAAGTTTTAATTTCTACAAATTTATATTGCAGACCTTTTCAGAAGCAATTAGATTTAATGCAGATTATGGAGTTTTTGAAGTAGTTAATGATGCTCCACAACTTCTGGAAAAACAACTAAAAAAAATTTTACTGAACCAGCGACCTCGAAATCCCATTTATGATGTTGTAAGGAAAGGAAAGAATGAGGTTAAACCTGTTCAGATGAATACCCCCCATGAAGATGAGACCATTAATGTCAACTACAATATTATGGTAAGAAAGTATACTGTTTTATCTTCTTAGATAGATAAAGCCTTTGGTCAAATTAACATGAATTTCCTTAGGCTTCTCTTTTTGAAATGTAGCTATATTTAACTTGTGTTATATGTACACATAGTATTTGTTAAGCACTTTTCAAATATAATGGCCAGTTTAACAGTTTTGTTGATGTTTACTTATCAGTTTGAGAAGATTCATATAATTTATGAATATTTGAATATTAGGTTAGTTTTGAGTCATATAAATATGAGTATCCTTTATAATGTTGATGCATAATTGAAAATGTGGATATATAGGCAATGTATTTCATTTGGGTTTTGAACCAGTCCAATCAAGCAGTTGATGCATAATTGAATAATCTATAATTATTATAATTTATAATGTTGATGCATAATTGAAAATGTGGATATATAGGCAATGTATTTCATCTGAGTTTTGAACCAATCCAATCAAGCAGTTGAGAATTGAGACTTCTGACCCTTAAGTTGCATTGTGTGGCTCTGACCTCCCTAGCCTTAAATTCTATTCTCAGCTTCTCCTTAGCATGAGATCAGAAAACATGGGTTCTAATATTGGCTCTTCTGCTTAATGGCTCTGTATACAAGTCACTTTGATAAACCTAATTTTCATCATCTGTCACGTGATGCCTTTACTACCTACTACTTAGGTTTCTTGCATGGATGAAATGAAAATAATAATGAATGTTTAACAATACTATTTCACATTTGATTCAAAATGTCTAGTAAAACTAGACTGAAATAGGTCTAACATTTAAGACATAGATCTACTGTAGGCTGAAAGTTCTTCAATTCTTCTGTTACTGAATTTGAATAGTTTCTACTTTAAACATTCATCAAACTAAATGGTAATAGTAATAACCATGTTACAACATTGTTTCGAAGCCAGAATAAGGAAATATATTCTGTGATACATAGTACTATATGATTGTTAGTTTAAAAATTTTTTACTAGGTGTGACAGTATTTATTGGTTTAGTCACTTACTTCAGTGAACAGAAATTTTTGATTGTCTGGAGATCTTTATAACCTATGTATTTATTGTTAAACAAAAGCTCTTTAAGAGCTTCTTGAGTTACATGTTTTTACACAAGTTTCTCAAAAAAGATCTACTGGGTGATCTTATTTAATGTATTTGAAGGTAGATTGATTAAGCATGTCTATTATAAAATTAGGGCAGCGATTTAGAAGTTTTTAAACAGAGGCATAAATAATAAAAACAGGCCAGGCACCATGGCTCATGCCTATAGTCCCAGCACTTTGGAAAGTCAAGGCAGGTGGATTGCCTTAGCTTAGTAGTTAGAGACTAGCCTGGTGGAAATCGTGGCGAAACCCTATCTCTACAAAAAATATAAAAATTAGCCAGGCATGGTGGCATGCACCTGTAGTTCCAGCTTCCCAGGAGGGTAAGGTAGGAGAATCACCTACACCTGGAGAGGTCAAGGCTGCAGTGAGCTATGATCACACCATTGCATTCCAGTCTGGATGACAGAGTGAGACCCTGTCTCAAAAATAAAATAATAAAAACAGTAGTGGAGATAAAAAAAAAAAAACAGTAGTGAAGATAAAGGGAATTAAAAAGTACTAAATGAAAAGCAGACAGAAAATGAGAAGAAAAAAAAAACAGGATAATGGTAGTACTGATTTTAAACAAATCACATCAATAATTAGTAGCATATTAATAATATACCTTTAGTGGTCCTGATGTCTCATGCCTTTGATTCCAGAGTATTAGGAGGCTGAGGCAGGAGGATCACTTGAGCCCAGGAGTTTGAGGCTGCAGTAAGCTGTGATGGCACCACTCACTCTAGTGTGAGGCCTCATCTCTAAAAATAATGATAATGATGATATACATCAATAATTACATGAAATTTAAATGGCCTAAGCACCCCAAGTAAAAGCCAGAGTCAGGGATGATTGAAAAAAAACAACAACAACTATTTGCTGTCTGCAAGAAACCAACCTTAAAAATAAGACATAAATAGGTTAGAAGTAAAAAGGATAGTAAAATGTATACCATTCAGTTACCAATTAAAGCTGGAGTGACTATATTGACATCTTGCAAAGCAGCCTTCAGAACAAGGAATCTTACTATGGATAAAGAGGAACATTACATGATGATAAAAGTGGGGGGCGTCAATTCACCAAGAAAGCTTAATAACTCATAATATGTATGCACCTAAAAACAGAGCTTCAGAATGATGCAAAAGCTGATAGAACTGAAAGGAGAAATAGATAAATTTATAGTTATAGTTGAAGACTAAAGCATTGTTCTCTCAGTAACTGATAGAACATCAGTAAGGATATGGAAGTTTTGAAAAACACTAGCAACCAAGTATATCTAATTGATTTTTTCAGAACAGTTTATCCCACAACAGTAGAGTATACATTTTTTTTCTAGTACATTGGGAATATTTACCAAAATAGACCATATTTTGAGCCGTAACATAAATTTCAATAAACTTAAAATATTTTAAATCTTGCCAACTATGGCTCTTCGACCACTTCAAAATTAAACTATAAATTGGTAAGAAAACCCTTAAATACTTAATTACATAACATACTCCAAAATAATTCATAGGTCAAAGAGTAAGTCCCAAGGGATATTAAAAATTATGTTGAATTGAATAAAAACTAAAGCATAATGTATCAAAATTTGTGGGATGCAACTAAGTTAGTCTTTGGAGGGCAATTTGTACCACTAAGTGCTTATAATAGAGGAGACTAAATATGATCCACTTGTCACTGTAGGAAACTAGAAAAATTAAGTTAAACCAAAAGTAAAGATATAAAGAACAGAATCAATGACATTGAAAACAGAAAAACAAGAGAGAAAAATCAATGAAAACGAAGGCTTGTTTTTTGAAAAAAAAAAAAAAAAA